CCACCCAATCTGGTCTTTGCTGGCAGCATGACCCCAGGAAGGAAGGAAGGAAAGAAGGAAGAAAAGAGGAAGGGGTCCAGAGCCAGTCCTTCCTGGAGCCTGGAGCCTGAGAGGGGGTGTTTGCTGGCACTGCCAGTGCCCAGATCTGGAAATTTCCCTATTCTGGCACAGCTCAAGTGCAGCATTTTGCTGGCACAGAAATCCAAAACCCAGCAACTTCTGGGTACTGGGTCTGGCACTTCTCACATTTTGTGTTTGCTGCGCCAGTAACAAGATTTGGAAATTTCCCGGTGCCAGCAGAGCCCAAATCCGGCAGATTTCTGTCGCTGGCAACAACACGACCCAGATCTGGTGCTTGCTGGCAGTGCCAGCGCCCACATCTGAAAACTTCCTGGTGCCAGCACAGCCCAGATTCAGTGGTTTGCTGGCACAGAAAGACAAAATTTGGAAATTTCCAGGTTCTGGCTCCAGCACCATCCAGATCTGCTGTTTGCTGGGACTGCCGGTGCCCAGAGTTGGAAATTTCCCAGAGCCTTCACAGCCCAGGTCCAGCAATTTGGGTTTTAGCTAGCTTAGGCAGGGAAGTTCCTCGGACTGTGACTTTCCTTTCTCTTGGAACTGTTTAAACCTGCTCTGGCCTGAAAGCCCAGTAAAAGACCAGCAGCTCACACCTGTGGCCCAGTGAGGTCTGGGACGCTGCATTCCAGCGCCCGAGGGACTTCAAAGAGACCAAGCGAGCCAACTACAACCCACAAAAAGGGCTTCTTGAATTTGCCATCTCTTCAGAGCTGTGAGAGATTTTCTTTAATAGTATTCATTTTTCATGCTCATGAATACTTTACTTGTTAAATAAACTGTTTTTTTCCACTTTTCTCCAGGGAAGTCTTTTCCTGAACTACTAGGGGGAGGGGCCACTTGAACTTGCTTTCTAGGCAAATCCCTTTGAAAGGTTGCCTCCCAAAATTTGCCCTAAACCAGGACAAACAGTCACAATGAAAAGTTCACCCACCAGCAAACTGGCACAACTCCCCAGCCCACCAGCAAAGGAAAGAACATGTCCAGTTCTCTAAACATTCGTCCTGCGTTGCTGCAAAAGTCCTGCTGCACACATACATAGTGCACTGTGGAAAGCCAAGAGAAGCTGCAGCTGCTGGCAAATCCTGGGACAGAAGCTCGACCTTGCTCTCCATGAGAGGTTCTTGAGAAGAATAGACAGGAGAAGATTCCTGGAACACTGAAACAGCTTTCCAGAAGTTAAATGAAAATGCAAATGAAAGAAACAATCCAAGATGTTTTCCTCCATTTAGTCCTATGCTGCCCTTTTCCATGTTGCACTACTTCTCCATCTCATTCATTCCAAATGCACCTCACCTCTAACATCAGTGACACAGTGAGTTTTACACACTCTAAAATACCATGAGCCACACACAGATTTCCTTCCCCTGGTCTTACTGGAGAGCAATTGGAAATTTCCCAGAGCCTTCACAGCCCAGGTCCAGCAATTTGGGTTTTAGCTAGCTTAGGCAGGGAAGTTCCTCGGACTGTGACTTTCCTTTTTCTTGGAACTGTTTAAACCTGCTCTGGCCTGAAAGCCCAGTAAAAGACCAGCAGCTCACACCTGTGGCCCAGTGAGGTCTGGGACGCTGCATTCCAGCGCCCGAGGGACTTCAAAGAGACCAAGCGAGCCAACTACAACCCACAAAAAGGGCTTCTTGAATTTGCCATCTCTTCAGAGCTGTGAGAGATTTTCTTTAATAGTATTCATTTTTCATGCTCATGAATACTTTACTTGTTAAATAAACTGTTTTTTTCCACTTTTCTCCAGGGAAGTCTTTTCCTGAACTACTAGGGGGAGGGGCCACTTGAACTTGCTTTCTAGGCAAATCCCTTTGAAAGGTTGCCTCCCAAAATTTGCCCTAAACCAGGACAAACAGTCACAATGAAAAGTTCACCCACCAGCAAACTGGCACAACTCCCCAGCCCACCAGCAAAGGAAAGAACATGTCCAGTTCTCTAAACATTCGTCCTGCGTTGCTGCAAAAGTCCTGCTGCACACATACATAGTGCACTGTGGAAAGCCAAGAGAAGCTGCAGCTGCTGGCAAATCCTGGGACAGAAGCTCGACCTTGCTCTCCATGAGAGGTTCTTGAGAAGAATAGACAGGAGAAGATTCCTGCTGATGAACTCCATCTGTATTCCATAGGAACACGGTCATACAGCCCCCCAGAATGGACCCACTTTGGCTGGTACTATGGCAAGCCAGCTACCATCTGGTCCCTGGGCATCCTGCTGCACCAGATGGTCTGCGGGGAGCACCCTTTCAGGAGGGGCCAGAACATCAGCTGGGACCATCAGCTCTCGCTGCCACAACGGCTCTCTCCAGGTGGATCCTCATCTCCGGGCACAGGGGGAATACCAGTGCTGGGAGACAGCAGCGGGCTCGGGAGCATCCTGCTCTGGCAGCTGCTGAGGAGGTGGCACATGTCCTGCTCTCCTCCAAAACAATAGAATTGATGGGAGAGTTTAGGCCCAGCTCTGAGCGCATCCACAAGTGCCTGGGCATGGGAATAGTGGGGCAAAGCAGACAGGAGCCTTCTCTAGCTGACCGGCAGTTCCTGGTTTCCTTCCCCAGAATGTCAAGATCTGATTGGGTGGTGTTTATCCATGCACTTCTTGGACCAACCCTCATTAGAAGACCTGTTCTTTGATCCTTGGATGCAGGATATTCCTCTGCCGTAGAAGAAGGGAGAGAGCTACAGGGCCACTTTGATCCAGGGCCCTGGTAAGTTACAGCTGCACACATGCCTTGGCAATCAGAAGCAAAGGAACCCAGCCTGGTCACTGCACCAGGGTCATGGGATGGGAACACGCAGCCCTTGTGCTGGAGCTGAGCTGCTCTGCCCAGCCCTGGTGGCCGCCATCCAAGCAGGTTTTGCTTGTCCTGGCTGGGGCCCTGGGCAGAGCCCTGACAGCCTGGTCTCACCCCAGGGAAGGAGAAGGAGCCCCTGGAGAAGCTGTAGCAGGTGGGGATGCTGCTGCTGCTGGAGACAGCGAGGATGACATCAAGGATGACAACCTCTTCCTCAACCTGGCCACCGGCAGCTGAAGGTGATGGACTTTGATTCTGGCACCTTCTTCAAAGCCAGGCTCAGCTGTGAATTTGCAGATGAGTCCACACCCAGGGAAATGCTCCCAGATTTGGGCATTGCCCAGCCTGGCTGGGAAGCAAAGGTTCTGCCTTGGCTGGGGCAGATGCAACTAATTCTTCAGTCAGCTGCCCTGCTGCTTTTTGGCAGGGCTGGGGGGATGGGCTGGGGTGGGTATGAAATGGGAGTGGGCTCCAGGCCCTGCCAACAGCCCCCAGCACCCACCATGGCCTGGGCTGGGGCTGGGGCTGGGGCAGCCAGCCCGACACAAACAAACCCCCGTGGTGGGAGCAGAGGTGGGACTCCAGAACCTGTGCTGGGGCTGCTTTGCTTTGCAGGCAAGGGAGGCCTTGGGTACCTCCACTGCCCTTGTTTGCTTTGGGATCACTGTTATTTTGGGGGACAGTGCAGGGGGAAGTGAGAAAGTGTGGGCTTCCCTCACCCATGGCTGGGTTTTTCCTAGCATGTAAGGGTTGGGCGTTCCTCAAGCCACTGACAGAGATAAGAGATTTCAGCAGTTTTTTTCTTGTTTTCCCTTTTTGTCTCTAATCTCTTTTCCATAATTGGTTGTTTGTTTTTCCAGAGGAAGCTATCTAGGTGGTCCAGTCTGGATAGGGAAGTGCTTGGGAGCAGCTGTGGCGTGGATAGGCCGTGCCCTTGGAGAAGGCTGAGGACATCGTTTGGGACCAGCTTTTCTTCCAGCCGTGGATGGCGTGAGGTGGGTTCCTGCCTGCTTGGCATGGTGGGATCAGAGCTTTTGGGAGATGGCAGCGAGCACAGGAGCATCCTGCTCTGGGCAGCTGCTGAGGGCTGCATGTGCCATGGCTGGCTGCAGGCTGGGCACATGTCCTGCCCTCCTGCTCTGCTGCCAAAGGCAGCAGTGATGGGCAGCTCTGGGCACAGCTCTGGCACAGCCAGCATGGCCTGGGCACCACGGGCATTGGGACAAGGGGACAGGAGCCCTCAGCTGACGGGCACTTTCTGGTTTCTCTCCTTGCAGCCGGGCTCTGCAGGTGCTGAGGCTGCTCTGGGCTCTGCCAGGGCTCTGCTGGGCTCAGCCCTGGGCACAGCTGGGCTGGCTCTGCCCTCACATTGCTCTGACAGCTTTGCATCAGATGAGCCCCTTCCGAGCACAGCGCCTGAGCTTTCTGCTTTGGCAGGTGAGTGAGACTCTGCTGCAGGCCCAGAGATTGCAGCTGGGGGCACACATCCAATGGGCAAGGACCCAAACTCTCCACAGTCGAATCGAAATGCCTGGATCTCCTCAGGATGTTTTGTCTGTCCCATTCTTCCTTCTTTATTGGCTGGAATTGTGCAGTTGCACTTTCTTCCTCCTCTAGAAGTGCCACAAGTGGGGCAAAGCTGGCGAGTGGGCCGTGTTCCTGAGGCAGTGCAGTCTGGAGCTGCTGGATGGAGAATTGCCCTTCTGCACTTCCAAACCAGAGCAAAACGCTGTAAGTGGGACTTTGTGTCTTTAGGAAATCCCTGACAGTTTCAAAGGGAATGTGCAGCTCATTAACAGGGGGAGAGGGAAGGGCATCTTCTAAAGGATTTGGGGTTTGACACAGTTTTGATTCCCAGTGCTGTTTGGTGCTGGAAGGGCACACAGCAATTTCCTCTTGCTTCGACTGCATAACTCACCCTTTAGCCAGAGACCAGGGGATTTTTTCCCCAGCTCTGTGTGAGAAGGTGTCCAAGAGCTGAAGGAGCAGCATTCAGAAGCAGTTTCAGTATTTCTAGGCAGGAAGTGGAGCTCACAACCATCCACATAACTCACCATATTCATCAGGATGGGCTGCTGCTTCTTTAGGAATATGGCCCAATCAGACACGAGACTTGGAAAAATCCCAGCTCTCTGTGGGTTTGTGCAAAAGGGGGAGCAGCACAAACACTTTGTGTCTGCCTGGGGGACACAAGGTCCAAGGAGCTTTGGTGGCAGAGGGTGACCTGGGCTAGTGTCAGGTGAAGTTCCATTCCATGACATCCCAGAGTGGCACAGGACAAAGCTCCAAGCACTCCAAACCCCTCTGATGAAGTCCTTGGAGTGCTGCACATCCTCTAGGAAAAGCTGCTGTCAGACAATCCATTGGGATTTATAACTATCATTTTTAATGCTTTAGGTCCAAATTTCAAACTGCGATATTTATACACTCAAGACACAGTCATGCACAATCCATCTTTCAATTTCCTATTGAGTCAACCACAATTTAAAATAACTGAATATTCAAACTAAACCCAGAATGTTTTAAAAAAGGGATGCTGAGGTCAGTAAGATGGATCCATGCATCCAAACAGTTACCAAGTCAGTAAATGAGTTCTCTTTCTAAAAAGATCAGTTACGTGTCAAGCCAAAGATACAGATAATTTTCACGACACATTTGTTTTTTTTTTTTATCTTTCAGATTTTTTCTTTCCTTTTTTTTTTTTTTTAACCGAGAACACACCTAAAAAAGGAATGTACAGCATCCTGAGATACATTTCTGATAAACAATGAAAATGTAGCCTCCTCCTCTGTTTACTTTTCTCTGGATACCCTGAAATAAACAATCTAGCAGATATGAGCAGAGGTGTGAAGTGTTTCATTTGGACTGAGCTGGAGTTCAGCACTGCTGACATCCTGATCCAGTCAAGAGCTGCAGAATTCTTTTGCACATCCTGAACCCTGTGTTTGCAGGCACAGCATCTGACGCACCAATGCCCATGAATAACTCTGTTATTCCCTCTCAGAATTTGGGCTCTGCCCCAGCACGAGGTGCTGCAGCCCTTTGCTCCTGGTTCCCGTGTGGAGCAGCTCCCTTCCCACTGGCTGAGCTGCTCAGGCAGAGCCCGGCAGCTCCTGGCCCTGCAGGGCTGAGGCTTTTCCCAATTGCTGGGCACAGACTGATGGAGCAGCACTGCAGAACACGGGGGCACACAGAGGGACCAGGAGCAGCTGCCTTTGTCCACCTGAGGCTCCAAGGCCCAAACTCTGAGCAGCCAGGGCTGGAAGAGACTCGCAGGCTCCCTGGGGGCTGTGCTGCCCACTTGTGTCCGGCCCAGCTCTGCGTGAGGCAGAGGGAGAACAAGGGGCAGCTCCCTCCCAGCCCAAACCAGGGACCCCTCCGGCCCCAGGCCTTGGGGCACTGTCAGCACCCGCTGCTCCAGCCACCGCTTCTGATGGCCCTGACAGCAACACCCAAACTGGGGCTGATCCCCAGGGAGCAGCAGCAGGGCCTGGATCTGATCCCTGACTCTGGGCCAGGGCTGGACAAATGACCCCACAGCAGCAGCAGCACATGGAGCTGACTTTCAGCACAGCCCTTGCCCCTCTTCCCTCCCGTGTGCAGCGGTGTCACAGCAGCCTGAGGCACCTGGGAGCCCCAGTGCCAGCAGGGACTTGAGATGGCAGCCCTGGGCTCCTGGAGGTTGTGCAAGGAACAGAGCTGGGGACTCCCTGTCCATGGGGAGCTTCCAGATGGAAAAGGCTGCTGTGCCCAGGCAGCTCCAAGGGCAGAGAAAGGAGGGTCTCTTGATCTGTGCCAGTGCCACAGTCCTGGGCAGCAGCCACTGAGCACAGCAGGAACAGAGGGCACAGCAAGAGGGACAAAAGCAGGCAAGGTCAGAGACTGGAGAGAGCCAGAGCTGGGAGCAGGAACAGCTGCTCCATTGCACTCTTGGAGAAAGCTCTTGGCTGGTTCAAAGCGCTGAAAGGTGAGAAGGGCAGAGAGGAGGCCACACCAAACAATGCTCCTGTTTCCACACCCTCCCCTCTCCATGTCCCAGAAGGAATTGGATGGACTGTGCTCTTCTCTCTGAGTCGTCTCATTCAGCATGAGCAGCTTAGCACCAGGAGCTGAAGGAGCTGAAGCCTCAGGCCTTAAGAGCTGAGGAAGAGAGAACTTTTCAACCAAATTAATGCTGGTAACATGGACCTGAATTATTCCAGCAGATGGAAATTATAGAATCCTTTCTGTTGGATAAGACCCCTGAGCTCATCCAGTCCAGCCATTCACCCAGCAGTGCCAAGCCCAGCACTAATCCACATCCCTGAGGTACCAAGGCCTGGACAACAGGCCCTGAGTGAGGCCTGGACAACAGGCCCTGAGCCAAAGGTGACCTTCCAACCAAAGGTTATCTTTGTAACTGCTCATTAGTGAAATATGCATGGTCATTAGAGCTGTAATAGATACATCCACTCATTAGTGAAACATGTATTGACCTTTCTGTATTTAGAAGTCGCACAAGGCCATGAAATCTGACATTGAGCTTTGTTTGGGGCTGTGTGGTCAAAGTCAGCTCCCTTAGTTCATCCTTGAGCCCTGGCCAGCATTCACCCAGCAGTGCCAAGCCCAGCACTAATCCACATCCCTGAGGTACCAAGGCCTGGACAACAGGCCCTGAGTGAGGCCTGGACAACAGGCCCTGAGCCAAAGGTGACCTTCCAACCAAAGGTTATCTTTGTAACTGCTCATTAGTGAAATATGCATGGTCATTAGAGCTGTAATAGATACATCCACTCATTAGTGAAACATGTATTGACCTTTCTGTATTTAGAAGTCGCACAAGGCCATGAAATCTGACATTGAGCTTTGTTTGGGGCTGTGTGGTCAAAGTCAGCTCCCTTAGTTCATCCTTGAGCCCTGGCCAGGCTTTGGGAGGGACCCAAGAGGAGAATGAAACCAGATGTTCCCTTGCTAGAAGTACTTTCAGTTTGTTCATTCAGCACTGTCAGAGCTGGGCTCTCTCACAGTGGGCTTGGAGCCTCCCCTGTGGCTAGAGGCACCTGTAGGAATTCCCAGTCTCCGGGAGTGGCTCTGCAGCCCTTGGCTGTGACAGCTTCCCCCAGCTGCTGTGTGGATCTGGGGGATGGTAAAGGCTGAGGGGAACTGGGGCTGTCTCTTTCTTAATCACTGCAGCCAATCTTTGGTGGTGATGATTGGGTGCGGTGCTGAGCTGCTCCTTTTATGATTCCTTGCAGTTTTG